GAGCCTCCGTTTTCAACCCCGGCTGGGAATAGGGTCACCAGCCGGATGTGACAGATATATCCGAAACTGGATGGTAGGGTAGGGTCAATGATAATAAAAAACTAACGTGCATAAATGACTAAAATGTCCTATACGAATTAAAATGTCTGTTGGGTGTATCCGGGATTTGTACGGATTTATGAATTACAATAATTTATAGAGTTAAATTTTCGTATTAAATTACTGTAGATTTAATACGAAAATTTGTAATGTACCAAGGTATGGTAGTAAGTATAACATATGTTGTAGCAAAATGATTTCATCTAGGCCTGGAAGGAAAACCGAATATTAAAGTAGAAGGAAGTGTCAACTTACTGTCTGCCAGTCTCACTTACAGGCTAAAACTACTGAATCGATTTAAATGAAATTTGCTACACAGTTAGTCTAGACTCTCAGAAAGGACATAGGCTACTTTTGAAGGCGATAAAAGGGTTGAAAGAATTATGTATGGAAGTGTCGTTATTTTTGAAGATGAAACGATGAAACTTTTTCATTTGGCGTTTATTGGGTTAGGTCATTAAATATTTTTTTCATTATTTGGTCAAGGTCACTACGTACGCACGTACGCGGGTACAGCTAGTATATAGGTAATATATAAAACATACAGTGCTGTATGTCGTTTAATTATGTAAGTAATTATAACTATTTGAGGATTTTTTACGTATATATATGATGTAAATATATAAATGGAAATCGCTGTCGAGGACAGATTAGAAATTATGTGAAAACAAATGTCCTGTCGCGATATTGGTTCTGTAGAAACTCTTGGGCTAATCGAATTGCAGATATAGAAACAAAGTAGAATATAACATCCAGTATACGTATATATATATATTAATTATCTAACCATGCTGGTAGTCCATTTGCTAATTTCGCCAAGTGTAAAAATTTAGTCTTCACACATATTTCAACACAAAAATATAAAAGAACATTTGTTTTAAAGAGTATTAGGTATAACATGAAGAATATGAGAAATAATACATTATATGAAGAATGAGCAGGAAGTATTCTTATAACTATTATTAGACTAAAAATATTTTACAGAATTGCCAATTAGATACAAAACACTACTAAACGCTAACTGGTACCTAATACAGTAAACAGGATAATATGGGTATCATCAACATAGCCGTATTGTGTGACAAACATAGCTGTTTACTCTTATGAATCTCTTTATTTCAGATACGAACAAAAGAGCTACCTATGTTTTTCCTTCGGAAAATTTCATAAGAATTTACACATTGGGTGTAACCTTGTCGGGAATGTATTTATTGAAACCCGTTTTCCCACGTTTCGTTTTTGTGAGATGACTGCTAATGTTATCTTCAGGAATGAGGAAGAAACACGTGCAACTTGGCAGATTATATTATTATATATTATATCAAATTTCTGTTGTTTACTCTTTGTTACACCGTGCGTTGATAAAGTAAGAATACACGGTTTCACTATACATTATCTCTCTAATTCTTTATTCTCAGGATAGAATGTAATACAAATAAAAGTAGTGAAAATAAGACAATAGTCCTGTTCTTTCGCTACTTTTATTTCATTCTTACTACTTTTCTTTCCAATTCTGGCCAGCATGGCAACAGTAACCTAAACTCTCCATCATTATTATATAAGAAGTTCTTTACAACGGTAAAGGGCTGTTATGATAACGATTTGTTTTAAATGTAGTCTTAAATCAAAATATTAACGCGAAAATCTTATACATGTACACATTTATATCAAAAATACAAGAGTTTTTGATAAAAATGTACGTATGAAATATGGCACATTTAATTTTATGTGGAGACTGCATAAAATGTAATATTTTGATTACACTTAAACAATACACACATATGTACAATAATATCTAGTCTTTGACAATATAAGCTGAATAATGTTCAAACTATTATAGTTTACGCTAGTCATTATAGTTACGTAACTATTGAATATAGAGATTTTTCAGCGAAGGTCGTTCAATCTTTTTTGGCATTTACTTAGAAGTTATAGGAAGGCATTCTTTATTGGACAATATTATTGAATTCCTTGGTGGTGCCGAGGGCGAGATTGCGTATACGAGAAGAGAAAACGAATGCTGCCACATTGTAGATCCGCTGAGACATACGATTTTTACCGTGAACATCAGAAATACTTTATATATTGATCTGCATAATCCTTTGGTAGACAATACAGATTTTTATATGGATGACGAGATTTATTCACGCTTGCTGAGGATATTAAGAGTAATATGACTTTCGAAACCTTTAAAATCCTTACTCTATCAGTCTTCGCATTTTATTATTGATGATTTGAATTGGCACAATAATAATGAATTTATTTATTGTGGGGTTAACTGCTGGCACGAAGCAAACATTTTTACAGCTAGGCGAACATATAGTTTACATTCAGATATAATACATGTTATTATTATTAATTATTCACACTGGGCTAATGCATTGTAGATAAATTTATTGATGTAGTTGAAAATAAACATTAAACACTTAATGACAACAAGGGACAGCACTTAGGTTATGTTCCCAAAATAAGTCTATTCCATGTTTTTAGACCCAGAAGTTTCGGGACAGTTAATCAATCAATCAGTTTGACCGTCCAATTAACAAATACTTCTATTTTCTACACGATCTCGTACAATGAACGCGTTAAACTGTATACTACAATTCACTACCCATACTAATTCGTATAAAACATACTACATTACTTCGTTAGTGTTTAAAATTGGACGTCAAACTAATCAATTAGACGATGTAAATTGTGCTATGTCTGCTATATTAAATTGGTTTACATGTAATAACCTATTATTAAATTCCAGCAAAACAAAGTGTATAAAATTTACACTTCCTAATGTAAGACCAATAAATACACAGTTATTGCTTAATGACGAAATAGTAAATTTTGTTAATGATACAGTTTTTTTAGGTACAACAGTGGACTCGAAATTACAATGGGGGCCCCATATTTCAAAATTGGCCAATAGACTCAGTTCAGCTGCATATGCAATTAGAAGAATTAGGCAATTAACAGACGTGGCGACGGCTAAACTTGTATACTTTAGTTATTTCCATAGCATTATGTCATATGGTATACTACTATGGGGTAAAGCAGCCGATATAAATACTATATTTATTTTACAAAAGAGAGCCATACGTTCTATTTATGGTATGGGTTCAAGAGAGTCATTACGTCAGTGTTTTAAAGATTCAAATATCCTCACCGTTACTTCACAATACATTTATGAGAATATCATGTATACACGGAAGAATTTAGACAGTTTTAGAAAACTTAAAGACTGTACAAATAGAAACTTACGCAATAAAAATAAGCTAATTTTACCTAAATGCCGCCTGCACAAAGTCAGTAATTCATTCTATGGTAATTGCGTAAGATTTTATAATAAACTGCCAGAATCTGCACTAAATCTGACAGAGAGGCAATTCAAATCTTATATTAAACAATTTTTATGTAAGAAAGCCTATTACAGGATAGACGAATTCATAGAAGACAACATATCAAGTAAATAATTAGTTTATTAGCATACAACGTTATAATTTGTTTATCTCATTGCTTTCTTGATTCAATTATTTTAGAAATATGAAAGCGTAGCGGGTTTTGTATTAATTGCCGCATGCATTCTTATGTGAAATGTGAATACTATAAACATCAGATGGCAATTGTGAGTAGCTATGACGTGGTCTGGTGTTTTGAGTAGTCATGCTCACTAAAATGTCCAGACTTGTGGCGGCGTGGTGGGCCGGGTCATTGGGCTCCCTAAAATATGGTCGAGCGCAGTGATGGCTGGCTCATCCGTCATACTCGTGAACGGGTGCTGCTTGTAGGGACTGGTCTGCTCTAATCACTATGACTGATTTCCTCTTATTAATTGTTTAACCAGTTGGTTATGTATTCAATATTTTTTTCTTTTTGAGTATTTAATTGAATTAGTGCTAATCGGTGGTTTGTATTCACACACTTAAACTTAAATTGTAAGTAAGAATAAATTATTTAAAAGAGCAACACACAAGTTTCTTGCTTGTTCTTCTTGTGATGAGACAGCATTCCGAATGAGCGGTAGATTAAAAAAAATGACTATTCAAAAGTGCTTAAATTAAGTTTATTTGAACAAATGATTTTATATTCTATTCTATTCTATACAGCTGTTTTTAAGTACGCCCGATATATGTATAAAATTCGTTTATCAATTTGCATGCACTGATGGGTCGCTGGCTTGTTTACCATTTTCAGTCAAGTAGCTATTATGAAAAAGTAATATTATGGTCGTACAACTTGGTAACTTAATTTGAGAGTTTCACAGCATCATCTGGGGTATGGTATTTAACGAGGTTAAGTTACCGGCAGGTATGTAAATGTATTTAAGTTCCTTTGCGTTTGCTCTTAGTGTTAGAATTTATAATTATAGTTATCAAAACCATAAAAAAAGTGTATTCTAAAGAAATTAACATTTACACGATTTAGGTAAACACGATTGGTTTAGGTAGATTTATAGATTTTGTCTTAAGGAGTATATTGTAGTAAATTTATAAAAACTAATTTGATGTATAGGCAGGCCTGCAGTCATATCTCATTAAAAAGTTGAGATATGGACACAGGCCTACTCTACCACCTCCTTCAGAGGCGGTAGGGAGGCGCGGTCTTAAGGGAGAGCGCAAGTCGTGTAGATCCTTAAGGCAAGTTCGGTAGATATCCTTCACGAGGTTGCCGCCCTGTTATTGGTCTAGTTCCCTATGAAATAGACGTAACCGAAACTACCGGGCGATAAATGCAGGGATGAAGAGGTCATGTCCTTGCGTGTCCATCATCGAGCAAAAAACTGAAGGTGGATAGTAATGACCTCCCGCGTGTTTGTGCCGTGCGCGGTGACCCGTACGGAGGGATGAAGGAGTCCTGGCGGTTGAGTGCAGCAGGGTACCGGCTGTAGTTGTATGCTGCTCACAACACACCTCTTCGGTCTGGATTTCCTCTCAAACGGGCGGTCGTGGAGTAGCTAACCACGATCAACCGGCTGTGATTCCCCATAAGCGGGCAGTCAAGCGAGGCTCGGCGAGCTGGGGGGTGACAGTCGGCGTGGCGCGGTGCTTTGGGGCTAGCCTGCCTCATCGTCTCGTGAGGTAGGTGTCCTCGCTGTGCTTCGCTGCGTGCGGACTCGTCCACTTCTCAGCCTGCTGGACCTATACCAAGGGAGTAGCTCTGGCGATCATTCGTGGAACGAATGACGTCCCCGAAGTGAGGGCTCCGTGGAGGGTGGAGAGCTCCTGAGGTGAAGTATATAAAAAACCAACTCATGGATCTAGAGGCAATAAAACCAAAAAACAAGAAGCAACAGGCTGCGTCTACGAATGCGCCAAAGCAACGACCATCGAAGGCTGCGTCGCAAGATGCGCCAAAACGACCAATAATCAAGGTCGCGTCATTTGATGCACCTGGACACTCTACCGGAGATGCGCCGAGCAAAGCTGCGTCCGAAGAACCGACGAGGAAGGGTACCGAACAGGATGCGCTACCCCAGGCTGCGTCCAGTGACGTACCATCCACGTCATCCAAGGATGCGCCGTGCAAGGCTGCGTCGCAGGAGATGATGAGGAAGGCTACCGATCGGTATGCGCCAACCAAGGCTGCGTCCCGTGGAGTACCAACCACATCATCCAAAGATGCGCTGGAAGAGGCAGCGTCAGGGGACACGCCGAAAAAGGTGACTGAGCGGAATGCGCCAACCCAGGCTGCGTTCCGTAAAGTACCAGTAGCGTCGACCAAAGATGCGCCAAGAAAGGCAGCTCCAACTTCTCTGCCGAAGATAGTCGCCGCACCAGGGGAACCAAAGAAGGGTTCACTCCACGATGCGCCTAATAAGGCTGCGTCAACGAGTGAGCCATCCGAGGTGAACCTGGCGGCACTGTTCAAGGTGGAATCGGAGGAGATGTCTGTTTCAGCGGCATCAGGGACCGAATCGGACAACCAGGCTATGGACTTGACGTCACTGAAAGACGCGATCCAATCACCATCAAAGCCGAAACAACCAGGGAACACCTTAATAAAACCCAAATCGGCCTCCAAGAAGCGGCGCATGAAAGCCAGAGCCAAGGCAGCGGCACAACGCGCAGAAGCGGTAGATGCTGCGAGGCATCAACTCGGGTCCTGCCCAGCGACGACCAAACCTAACGGGGAGGCGTCAACGAGTGGACCCAGTGCACCTGCAACTGGGACGAGGGCCGTTCTGGCTGCTGGCACACAAAAGCGCAGCATGAAACCGCGAGGCCGTAAGAAACCCAGGACCAACGACCCAAAAAACGAGGCAAGACCGCAAAAGCGTACACGTCCAGAAGACACCGTCACACCAACCGGGGAAGGTAAAAAACCCAGAACCGCTGGTGCGACGGGTAGGGGTTCTATGACATACGCAGAAGCGGCTGCCACCTACCTGGCCAACGAACTCTGTGTTGCGGTCATGGTGGAACCCTACTCTGACCTAACACAAGACCAAGCTGAGGATCTCAGGAAGCAGATTGAGGTGAGGCTCAGGCAACAAATAAGAGCCAACCTGACACTCCCAGCCAAAACCAGAAAGGACCTGAAATTCCGAGGCAAGGCTCATTTTGCGGATGGCGTCCTCAAAACCTGGTGCGAGGATGACTTCACCAGAGCCTGGCTAGAACAGACCGTCCAAACCATGGCCTCTCCAGTGGAAGACTCGAGCCTAGTCGTTCGACCACAATCGGCCATCCCGAAGAAGGTGCCGTGCCTGCTCTTCGTTCCAGGGGAAACCGGGGACACCACAGAACTGCGGGAACTTCTTTCGGGACAGAACAGTAACCTGAACATGAACTCCTGGACCCTGACACACGAGAGGATCAGGACAGACCCACCAGGGACTTGTCTGTTCTTCCGTATTCCTGAGACTGATGTCGACGTGTTAAGGGCCCAGGAAAGAAGGATTTACTACATGATGGGAAACATCTACGTTCGCTTCATGGACAAAGATGGTTCCCATCAAACAAAACCAAATATTAAACAGTCGGAAGTTACGAAAGTTGCTGAGCAGCAAACGGATCCTAAACCGACAACGTCGACAGTGGCTCCCGTAACTGCGGCAGAACGAGTAGTAACTCCGACTGCGATGGAAGTGCAGGATCCACCTTCTCGGATTTCATCCTGGATGAAGAGTGCTTTCCGGCGGAGGGGGAGAGAGCGAAGCTAGCGATAGCGTCCTCTACTCCTCCCCACTACGGGAAGACTAAGATCCTGCAGTGCAACCTCCAGCACAGCCAAACTGCGACGGCTTCTCTTCGCAGAGTGCTGGAGAACAACGCAGAGACCATAGCCCTGATCCAAGAGCCGTGGATCAGGAAGAACAAAATTTGTGGTCTCGGAAATAGCGGAGGAAAAGTGATACTGGATACCTCCGTAAGTAAACCAAGAACATGCGTATTCTTACCCAACCATGTACAAACAACACTAATCAACGAATTCTGTTCAAGGGATTTAACACCAGTAAGAATTACCAGTGCAGCACACCTCCCCGACATCGTCCTCGCCTCAGCGTACATGCCGAGCGACGGGGAGATACCACCACCACAGCTCTGCCATCGGGGGGAGTACTGGGAGAGGGAGAAGCTGGAGCTGGTCGTCGGCACTGACTCCAACGCGCCCCACACGCTGTGGGGCAACAGTAAGACGAACAACAGAGGTGAGGAATTAGCTCTTTTTATTCTTAGTAATAATCTCACTCTACAAAACAAGGGCTCGGAACCAACGTTCATAAATGCCCGATCACAAACCATAATAGACCTAACACTAACATCAACAGGCATCTCGGGGTCCATTCGTGATTGGCATGTGTCCAGCGAGCTTTCATGCTCCGATCACAGATGGATCCGTTTTACTATTGACATATCACTACCAAAACCCCAGCCGAGACGGATACCCCGGAACACGGACAAATCCAAATTCATAGGATTAGTTAGTGCTTACGTAGGGGAACAACTCTGCCTACCTGACAACCATGACAGAACGGAACTAGACAACTATGCGAACAACATTACGTCCATACTTACCTCTAGCTACGAACGGTCTTGCCCTCTTACCACACCCAAAAACAAAGGTAGGCAACACTGGTGGTGTTTCGAACTAGAGAAACATCGACGGAAGCTGAGGAAACTGTTCAACGCAGCTATGAACAGTAGATCACAAGGTGACTGGGACAAATACACAACTAAAAGGAAACAATATAAAAAACTAATTCGCCACAGACGACAAGAGTGTTGGAGGCGATTCTGTACCAACATAGACAATAACAACCAAGCAGTCAAAGTGAAGGCCTGCCTTTCCAAAGAGAAAGAACACACAATAGGCTGTCTTAAAAAATCGGATAATAGCTACACAACAAATGACACAGAAACCTGCGAACTACTACTGTCAACTCACTTCCCAGGATTCCTTGCGGACAATGACCACTCATGGAATTCCCAGGAAAGTAGGACAACCAGCAGCTCGGACTGGGAGATAGCAAGCAGAGTAATAAACAGAGAAAGACTTACATGGGCAATCAACACATTTCTACCTTTCAAAGCTGCAGGACTAGACGGTATTTTTCCGGCTCTCCTGAAATGGAGCGGTGACATAATAGCTGAACACTTGGTTCAACTTTTCCGGGCATGCCTAGCTCACCGATACATACCTTTGAAATGGCGTGAAGTGAAAGTAATTTTCATTCCGAAACCTGGCAGAGGTGACTACACACAGGCCAAGTCCTTTCGACCAATTAGTCTCACATCGTTTTTACTAAAAACAATGGAGAGGCTTTGCGACAAAGAGATCAGAGACCTGATATGTATAAACAAACCACTGCACACCAACCAACACGCCTACAGTGAAGGCAAATCAACGGAATCAGCACTCCACAGCGTCGTAAGTCGCATTGGTAACTCGCTAAACTCAAAGCAGCCTACCTTAGGTGCCTTCATAGACATCGAAGGGGCCTTTGATAAAACGAACTTTACCAGTATCAGTCGCGCTCTTACCATACATGGAGTACCAACAACTCTCATAGAATGGATAAACAACATGCTGAAAAACCGTGCAATCCAGTTCACCGTAAACACTACCACACGTGGGATCGTAAGTAGAGGATGTCCACAAGGAGGGGTCCTGTCGCCACTCCTGTGGAACTTAGTTGTTAATGAACTCATTGAGGAGCTCAACGACAACGACCTCTACACGGTAGGTTACGCAGACGACATTGCTGTACTTATATCAGGAAATTTTGAGGGAACCTTATGCGATCGCATGAGAGAAGCCTTCAGAACAATAGAGAGATGGTGCGAAAACCATGAACTCTCCGTGAATCCTTCTAAAACAGAACTCATCATGTTCACCAACAAAAGAGCTCCAGGTACTTTCAATTTACCGAAACTCTTTAATACAGAGCTTAAACTTAAGGAGGAGGTCAAGTACTTGGGAGTCATACTAGACAGCAAACTTCTCTGGAATAAACACCTTGATCACAAAATTAACAAAAGCACAATTGCATTCTATCAATGCAGGAAAATGCTTGGTAATAAATGGGGTGTCTCCCCGAAAATAACTCTCTGGCTATACACATCAGTAATAAGACCAATGCTGGTGTATGGGGCCTTGGTTTGGTGGACAAGGTCGAAACTTACGACCACAGTCAACAAACTAAGATCTTTCCAAAGACTTGCATGCTCCTCAGTTACTGGATGTATGAAAACAACCCCAACAATGGCAATGGAAATAGCCCTTAACATTACACCCCTTGACCTATACATACAGCAAGAAGCAGCTATAGCTGCCACAAGATTATACCATCTTGGTCTATGGGGCAAAAACCATTCCAGTTCTCACACAACCATCCTGAACCAAGCAATCGAATATGAACCTTTGATTGCCGCTCCGTGTGACAGAACTCAAGCATACCACTCGTTTAACAGGAAATACCAAATACAATTGAAGGAGGAGGAAAGGGACCAATCTGCAGTAAATGAACTACGCATCTACACAGATGGCTCCAAAACACAGAACGGTTCAGGAGCTGGGGCACATTCCCTTGACCTCAACATGAACATATCTATACCGCTCGGCAA